TGATTGTAAAGTTGTGGAAAAGAAAACAACTTCTTATAAAGCTGCGGTGGGATATACCAATAAATATTTTTTCAACAAAACCAGACAACAACTTTCTTATAGTCACGGCACATTATCATGTACAGCTGGAAAAAATAGCTCCCCACCACAGAAAATTTTTAGAAAGCAACAAGAAAGTTTTTCTCCAAATAGAGCTGTGGTGAATGTTAGAAAGCCGTCCTAAATAAATCCTAAACCAGGGCAAGGCAGAAGCAAAATGTCTGTAGCTACTTCAAAACGAGTTAAATTCAGAAAGTTTCGCACAAAAGCCATGATGTTCAAATTGTGATTCCGATTGTCTCCAGCGACAAAGGAATCTGCATGGTGTAAATGTGCATTCCATCCAAATAAACAAATATGAATTTTAATTGGCCCGTCTAGTGGATTCAAACTAAAGTGCAAGACCAGTTTTCACAAACAAAAACAACAGAACTTCCTTGAAATTGTGACATCACTAAATTTACTATAAGATTCGTTCAACCTATTAAAGACAAAAAAAAAAAGATTAATAGATATTCCAAATGATATCATAAAGATGCACTGCTCAGCAGATGATGAAGAAAATATGAGCGGGCATTTTTTATTACAATGCATAGCTAATGTTGTAGGGCATGCTTGGCCTGAAATAAATGCAGAGAATGTAAAAGCATTTTACATTGTAATTTCATTTTAGGATTTTGGTTCTAGTGTACTTACAAGGTAATAGGATATACTGCGAATATATGAAATAATGATTTCCCAATTGACAACTACTTGCTCAACTCGTGCAAAATTTGAGGAAAAAAATTTGCGGCCTTAAGTTTGAGACGTGCATTCTGCTCACAAAGAAGCAATACCTCAATTTCTCATGGGAGTAGAACCAAAAATATAAATTTCCCTCAATTTCTAATCAACCAAACAAATGGGTGAAAACTGCAAAAATCAATCTATTAAAAAACAAATAATATGCAATAAACAAACAGCTCCCGAAATTAACTTGTATGATTGACAAGAGTTTGTAATGTTCAATTTTTTTCTTGCACTGACAAAAAGATAAATTTGCGGATAAGAAGAGTGCACATAGCATCCAGAACAATTAAGTGAAAATTATGAAACCAGAGAATCAGAACCATAGCAAACCTCAAGACATTTTAACATAAATCATAAAATGACTGAGGTCCACAGACCTCATTCTTAATGAATAAATTGTTTCTATTAAAAATACAGAATAAATTAAATTTCGTGAAACTTTACCTTGACAAAAAATTCCAGAATTTCTAAGTGAAATTTATTCGTAACTCGAAAAAAACAAGCAATTCAGGTAGGTGGAGGTTTTGGTGAGAATCGAGAAATCAGATTGAAAGAAGAAAATGAATTTCTTACCATAAGATTAAAAGAATGAAGAAGGAACTACTATGAAATGGATTTCTGAACAAGCATCTACTTTTCTTCTAGAAGGCATAAAATTCATTCCTTTAAAAATTATTTCGTTGGATATATAGTTCAATTAAATAAAGATATAACAGTTTTCTAAGAAAAACCATAAATCATACTCGGCATGGAAGCGAAAATAAAAAAAACCGGAAAACCCCATTTTGGTATCACCGCAAATTATGGGAGGAGAAAAAATGAGCAGAGGACCAAAGAAAAACCATAAATCATTCTCGGCATGGAAGCGAAAATAAAAAAAACCGGAAAACCCCATTTTGGTATCACCGCAAATTATGGGAGGAGAAAAAATGAGCAGAGGACCAACCTTTTCATTTCTTCAACATCGAGAATATTTTCCCCAAAAGAGACCTCAATCTCAGCATTATTTACCAGCCCCGGCTGCGGAGTTGCAGAACCGTAATTGAGGCTTCCATAGCAAGGTCCCAGCTCGAATTCTATGCTCCGATGAGCGGAACTGGTACCCGGGGTCAAATTGGTCTTAGGGCTAAGCTTAGGGCTCGATATCACGGGCTCCTTGTAGTCCTTCTTAGGCTTTATTACCGAGGGTAAAAATTTTTGGAGGCGGCGGTTCCTGAGCTGGAGAAAGGAGAAAGAGTCGTCTGGCGATGGTGAGATATTCTGGAACCGCTGAAGAGCTAGGGTTTTGGCCCGGGTGCGCACACCAAAAGAAGATTTGGGTGAAACCTCCCTGACTGCAAAATCCCTCCTGGTCTTGGCCCTCCTCATGTACTTACCTTTTCTCCTTCTTCAGTCAGATTTCATAGAGATGAAGAAGAAATGGAAGAGCAGAGTGAAGGCGCCGTGGATATGCCGGAAAGCCGCACACGGGAGGAGGAAATAGCTTGCAGGACAAGGTGTGGGCGCGTGAGTGAGAGAGAGAGAGATGGTCGGATCAAGAGAGAGGTACCGGCTTGTACTTCGCACGTGAGGGGACATTAAAAAATAAGTGTCACCCAAAATATTCCATAATACATATTTAATATTTAGAATTTTATATTTATTATAATAAATTCTGCAACACAAATATGTTCGCACGAATCTTGAGAAGATATTATGGGTCACACACAAAGATAATTGATTTGCGTACATTCGTCCAAACGAAAGATCGACAAACTCAACTAACATCGTGTAACCGTGTCGAGGCCGGCACAACCAGCATCGCCATTACGAATATTAACAATCGTCCAAATGAAAGCCATTCAATATAGACACATTAACCGATGTAGTTTGCTTGTCAAATTACAATAATACAACATCTGTTTAATGCAATACTCTTTCCAAAAAACATTGTGTTTTTCAATTAGGTCCCCTCAGAAAAGGCTGTCAAAGATCATTTAGTTGAGCAAATGACTCTTGGTCGACCGGATGAATAAAACGTGACAAAGCCAGGTAATTACGAATACAAAGTCGTGTTAAGGGTAGTTACAAATATATAATGACACCAACAACAATTATGTGGTCAAAACATGTATGATTTAGTTACAAATTTATAAAAGTATAATGACTCATAAATTATGGTAACATCCTCTTTTTAGGGGCAATCATGTAATTTGTTATACCCTTCTTATGATCTATAAATATACCTGTTGTTTTCATTAGAGGGGGACAATGACACAATTCCCTAGAAACTAAGCATTATTTATCTTGTTCTCTTACTCTCTTTCCTTTCATTCGACCGGTACTCTATTCCTTAGGTGTGATCCACGGAACAATTTAGGATCCAACATCCTAAAATGTTTGGTGAGCATGGAGTCAAGTCTTCAACAAGACGAGGAGTATGTAAGGGTTAAGGAACACAACGAATTCAAGCAAATTACAGAACTAATCTGAGTAGTGCTTGAAGGGAGGGTGCAACCTCTCCCGCAAGTTGATTCACCAACACCCAAACCCCAAGCTCAACAGGCAGCACTACTTGCCAAGCGAATGGAAGAGTCCTAGAACCAAGACTGTCAGATCTGCGCCAATGGGGGAAACTCAACCAGGAGCGATAGAAGTCTACCGCCAAATGAAGAATACATATGCCGACATATTATGGAAGCTGTGCCCTCAAAAAATTTTAAGGTTTCCTTACTGGCCATAATGATCCTTTGAGTCGACAATCTGTTTTCTCAAGATCTCTGACGCATTAAAGTATTAACTTTTCTATACTACTTTGAGAGATTCCAGTCTCAGTTGTTTCAATGGAATCCTAGTGAGAATTATTAATTCTTTGGAGATTTCAAAATGTTTTTTTAGCATAGTTCATTAGCGCCCAAAAGTCACAAAAGGATTCAGATTCTTTGTGGTATATGAAATAGAGATAGAATGATTGCTTTCGGGTATATGTTACAAGGTTCTAAAAGGAGATGCTCGAGGTGTGGAACCTAGAGAGTGTTGTTGACCTCATTTTTGGTCACATAAGACTTGCATAGACATAACTCCTTTGTCTGGTGCATCCATATTAGCCAAAACTGCACTTGCTCAATTTTTTTTTGGCGTAATCACGCCAGTCATGTGCATGACTAAGCCTAAAAATACTAAAGTGTGGTCATGTCTAGCATGTGTATGACAACATCTGAAAGTTTCTCGATGCAGTCATACTAGCTCATAGCGTGACCACTCCCAGCTATATTTGGAGGGACCACTCAGCGTGATCACTCCAGTGACACGCCATCAATCATTGTCCTTCATCCACAAATCCAAGCACAATATCTCGTGTCATTTTGTCGGCGATGCTTCATGTCTCTTCCAACCAGCTGAGTCATCTTAAACGTGACTCGTCACCTAATTCGACGGCAAGGGAGGCCTCTACCACCTCATTTACAACTTATAAAATGGCGACTCTGACATTTTCCACAACACTTAACACATTCTAACTCTCCAACATGCTCACTTTCAGAGAAGCTCACGGAGACACACAGGCTCACACACGAACTCTATGCTCTGCTCTTAGAAAGAAAAAGGAAGAAGTCATCACTGGAAAATGTCGTAGTGGTTTTATTCATAGAGAATTCAGAAATGTATGATTTCTGAGATTCTCATGCAAAAAAAGCCACATGAAAGTTTCATAACCAGAGATTTAGGTGTAATACCTATTCTGAGTTCTTCAACACTTCTATAAGAGCAAGCTCCTATAGTTAATTACATCTTAATTAGTTAAAACTACTCAAGAAAACTCCCAATGAAGACTAACATTTGCTCTTAGGGAAATTTTAAGTGTCAAGGTCAAGGAAAGAAACATCAATGTTTGAACCAAGGGTAAGGAGTTTCTAATTCTACCCTAAAGGTTTTGTTCTGTCGATTTGTTTTTATCATTTTGTTTTGTTATTTTTCTTATATCTTGTTTATGTCTTTTGGTTTTGTTGTTTCGTAGTTGTCATTTTGTTGCCTTGGGGTTCACCTTTTCCCCTTCAGAATGTCGTCCTTACAAACTAAAGTTAACACACACTAAAATATGCAAAGTAATTCTAAAGCGTAATTTGTCTCATGTCTTCAGCAAACTTGTAAAACAGAACACGATTAGCCATGAAATCATGTTTTAATTTGTCAATTTAGTTCGTTCAATAATTTTTTAATGACCCGGTCAAGATGTCTATGACTCTGTCATTCTGGGTTCGTAAGGGTATTCAGATCTACTACATTCGAAAGGTGTTTAAGCCAGGACTGGAAGGTTCTTGTCAGCAACCACATATTGCATCGTCCAAGAGATCTTCATAGATCTGAACAAAAATGTTCAAGTTACATTCGATAATCTTTGTTCATTAGGGTTTAATTTAAGTTTTAATGTCTTATTCAGATTTTAGGGGTTGATAAATTTTAGGTTGCTTACGATTTATTAATTGATTGAATTTTATCATTTTGATGTTTATTTTTGTTTGGGATGACCCGATTAGGATCCCATGGTTCATTCATCCCAAGTCATTATGTTTGCGGTTTGATTAATAGCAAGTGGTTGGAAGATATTTTATTAGCAACCATGTGTTACCTCCTCCAAAATATCTTCTCAAACCTAGTTGCATTTTTTTATGCTTTAATGACATTTAAAATGAATTTTATGTCATTTGAATTTTTTCCTAAATTTCATTTTATTTATGTTAGTCGGATTTAGATTTGAAATTGAATCATCATTTTTACTTTATGATGTCATTTATTTTAGGTCTGATGTCGGTTAGATCTAAGGAAATTTGATTAAAGTCTAATAAATTAGACTTAAGGTTTAGGTTCAATGTTTGTAAAACCTAAAAGAGATTTAATTTTGAATTTGATACTTGTCAGGTTTTAAGCTTTAGGTTCAAAATGGTAGAACCTAAGATTGTGAAGTGACATAGATTCAACTCATGTAGAACCTAAAGTTTAATGTCATGTAGGTTCAATTTGGATAAAACCTAACGTTTGAGGTGGTTTAGGTTCAATTAATGTAGGACCTAAAGTTTAATTTTATTTAGGTTCAATTTGGGTAGAACCAAAAGTATAAAATGATTTAGATCAGATTTATGCTGGACTTAAGGTTTGAAGTGAATTAGATTCAATTTGGGATTGAATCTTCGATTTGATGTCATTTAAGTTCAATTTAGGTAAAATCTAAGGTACATGATGACTTAGATCCATTTTAGGTATGACATAAAGTTTGATATTACTTAGATTCAATTTAGGTATAATATAAGGTTTGAGATGATTTAAGTCCAATTTAGGTAGGACCTAAGGTATAACGTTGATTTAGGTTCAATTTGAGTTGAAACTAAAGTTTGAGTTCATTTAGGTTCAACTTGGGTTGAAGCTAAGGTTCAGGTTGACTTAGGTTCAATTTGGATTGAACCTAAGGTTTAGGTTGAATTAGGTTCAATTGAGTTGAACCTAAGGTTTAGGTTGACTTAGGTTCAATTTGGGTTGAGCCTAAGATTTGGAGTTACTTAGGTTCAAAGTGGGTTGAACCTAAGATTTGGGTTGACTTAGGTTCAATTTAAGTTGTACCTAAGGTTTTGGTGAATTTATGTTCAATGTGGGTTTAACCTAAGGTTGAAATTGACTTAGGTCCAATGCTGGTTGAACCTAAGATTTAGGTTGAGGGACTAAGACTAATTTAATTAAGGCTTAATGGATGCTTTAAGTCTAATTTAGGTTAGACTTAAATAGGGATTAAGGTTTTTTAAGCCTAATGTGAGTAAGGCTTTAAGCATTCATTAAGCCAAATTCAAATTAGACTTAATTAGGGTTTTATGTTAGCTTAAGCCTAATGTAGTTAAGGCTGAAGGGTTTAATTAAGTCTAATTAAGAATAGACCTAATTAGGTTAGAAGATTAATTAAACCTAAGATGGGTAAGGTTTAATTAGATTAATTATGTCTAATTAGGGTTTGACTTAATTATGGTTTAAGGTTAATTAAACATAATGTAAATAAGGTTTAATTAGATTAATTAGATCTAATTTTGATTAGACCTAATTATGGTTTAGGGTTAATTAAACCTAATATAAGTAAGTTTTAATTAGATTAATTAAGTCTAATTTGGGTTAAACTTAATTAGAGTTTAGGGTTAATGAAACCTAAAGTAAGTAAGGTTTAGTCAAATTAAATAAGTCTAAATTTGGTTAGACCTATTTAGGATTTAAGGTTTGTTAAGCCTAGTGTAAGTAAGGCTTAATTTGATTAATTATTTTTAATTTAGTTTAGACCAAATTAAGGTTTTTGGTTAATTTAATCTAATGTAAGTAAGATTTAATTAGATTAATTAGGTCTAATTTGGGTTAGACCTAATTAAGGTTTAAGGATTAATTAAACCTAATGTAAGTAAGGTTTAATTAGGTTAACTAGGTCTAATTTATGTTAGACTGACTGCGACTTTATATATGCTTAAAAATATAAGTATTTAATATTGCTGCTAAAAGATTTAATTCCTCAGCAACTGTACCAAAACTTAATA